TTCTCTTCCCTTTCTTTTTATTTTTCTGCACTATATTACTCTTGTTTATTCTGCACAATAACTTATAAATTGCTAGCTGGGATTACAACAAGGAGGAATAGTTTCTTCACTTCGAGGAAATACATAAAGTTATGCTTTTCATGGAAAACCCATCCAAGAAAGAAAAGAAAACAGAAAAAAAGAAGAAGAAGAAAAAAAAAGGATGAGTCATATCCTCTTCGATGAAATATATTAGAAAGGAAACTCTTTTACCAATTTTTAACTCTCCTTTCTGCTTCCATTGATTTTATATTAGAAAGTGAAAAAGAGCTAGAGAGACATGCCTTTCCTGTCCAAAATACTAATCTTAATTTCAGACCACTTAGTATGGGGGACAAAGCAACCGACTGATCCCAGAAGTGGACAAAGGAAATGTAACAAAATGAAACCAAATTCCAAGAAATATAAACGCCATATATAATCTCCTCTTCCTAAAAAGGGAGTTATCTTTCTCTCTCAACTTTGATGGCCATAGATATCTCATAAAAGCTCAACCAATACAGGTAATTCAATTATTGCTTTTGTTCAATTATTGCTCCACATGCAAAACAAAGGTATCACACCGTGATTAAAAAACCATAGCTTCATATAAATCATGTCAGATTTCTCTTCTTCTTCTTTTTTTTATTTTTCCTGCTTTTGTGTTTGTTTTCAATATAGGTTATGTTTTCAATATGAGTGTTGGTTTGGCTTTTATATTAGTTTCTAGGAATTTTTTCATTTTGCTTACAGCTATTTCGGTTCAGAAATAATTGTAGATTTAGTTCTTATTTGCCTTGGAAGCTAGGATTTATTACGATAAACCTTACCCATAACCAAGTTAAACCCATGAATATTGATGTATTTTTGAGTTCGTAGGATATTTAGAGAAAGTGTTTCTAAAATTTTAAGGTTCATTTCACTATTAAAGTATTTTGCTTTCAACCTTCTATCTCAAGTAGTCTTCATTGTTCCCTATATATTTCTC